CAGTCTGTGACGCCAGTCTCTAAGGCCAATTTAGTCATGGTCTCTTTTAGGGTCCTGTTCATTCTTTCTACCTGTCCTGAACTTTGGGGCCTATAAGCACAATGTAATTTCCAATTTAGCCCAGGATCTTGGCCAGTCCCTGACTTACCTGGGCAAAAAATGCAGGACCGTTGTCTGGTCCGATTACTTGGGGGATCCTGAACCTAGGGAAGATTTCTTCAAGAATCATTTTAGCCACGATCATGGCCATTTCGGTCCTAGTGGGGTAGGCTTCTACCCATCCAGAGAAAGTGTCAATAAAAACAAGTAAATATTTGTACCCATACTTGGCTGGCTTAATCTCAGTGAAGTCTACTGCCCAGTAGCTACCAGGCCTGTTGCCCCCTCGGGTGGTAGCCCGGGGGTTGCTTGGTAGGGTGGGCATTTACCATCTGGTAAGGGGTGCACTCTCCTGTAATCTCCTTGGTGAGCCTCCCTAGTCACATAATGTAGTAGGAGGAGGTGCATACAAGTGTCCTGATGTGCTTGATGAGTAAGCCGATGAATTTGCCTAAGAAAGGGGACTGCCAGCTTCCTGGGTAGAATGCATTTACCTTCAGGAGTCCTCCATGCAGGATCTGTGGTGGTTTGGGTAAAGCCTTGCTCTTTATCTGTGCGAGGTCCTCGGCCATATAATCGAAGAATTTGTCGATCTGGTCAGGATGTTTAGACCTTGGGCTGCTCTCTTCGCTTCTTGGTTGGCCCTTTGGTTACCTTTCACTTCCCTGGTGACGGCTTTCTGGTGTCCTAGGCAATGAATAATGACCACCTTCCATGGCAGATAAGGGAATTTAATAGTTGTATGATCTCCTGTTTGTTTTTGATTTCTCTCCCGGCTGAGGTCATTAGCCCTCGCTGTTGATAAATGGCCCCATGTATGTGAGCTGTGGCAAAGGTGTATCAGCTGTCCGTGTAGATGTTGACGGTCTTACCTTCTGCCAGTCGTAGGGCCTGAGTCAGTGCCACCAGTTCGGCTCTCTGGGCGGAGGTTCCCTCGGGTAAGATGCTGGCCCAGATAGTATGGTTTGTTT